TATTCTATTTTTCGATTCGATAGTTTTACTGCTTTCAATACTTTAAATACAAAATACCAAAAACAGCTCCGTCGATATATTGTGATTTTCGATTCTCATACACGTTTTCGATTGAAAATCAAATTGCTAGCCTAAGTAAAAAGAATTTACGTGGTAGAATTTTGATTAAGACCAAAACACCCTTAGAATCGAAATCGATCGAAATTCCACCAGAAACACTATCATAAGTTAACTTATCTGATAAGATGTTATTATTAAGAGTGATTGTTTGTAGAACAACAGTGATTGTTTGTAGAACAACAACTTCTAGACATTTTCATCGTATTAACTAATTTCCGATTTTGATCACTTATTTAATTTTGATTCATCCAGTGTCTATCAAAATAGGTTGCGGTAAAAATTATGACTTATTTCACTCATAAACAAGAAAAAAAAACTACTTTTTATTGTAATATTATAAGCAGAATTTAGTTTATAAAATAATCTAATAAAAGCAATATTATATATTTTAATTCTTTAATAACATTAAAAATTAAAAAAAAATCATATGATAAGCACCCTAATTCTAACTAAGTTTCATTTAAAAATAAAAAAGACAGGCAAGCAACCAATCTGTTTTATAATTAATACTTATTTCTTAAATATTATATTTAATTGTGATATCAATAATCTTTTGTCTAAAAATATTATTTTTTATTAAAGGTATTCTTAAATGAAAAAATAATCATGCAACTAATCAATATATATATATATATATATATATATATATATATATATATATATATAATTAGAAAATTCACAATATTTATGCTTATTTGGTGCTAACAAATACTATGAAATACAATATAAAAATTATTTCTTTCATTTTGTCACAAATTGTTGGTGTTTAAAGTGACTTAATAACTTTTTTAAACACACCATTAGGTATAATAACAATCCTACTAGTTTATTTTCTTTCCGTCAAAAAAAAATCTGGAAATGACAATAGGTTGTTACAATAACATATTAATTAATAAAAATCTTACAAGAAAAAATAAATTTAATGAAAAAATAGCCATTGATAAGACAGATAACATTATTAAAGAAAAAAAGAAGTTGAAAATATAAATTTTTCACGAAAAGGCAAATTACATATTATTTTAGAAAAGGCACTGGCAACATTAACTTAAAGAAAGATGGTAAATTGGGCCAAATTATGAACCCTTTGAAAAACATTTCACCTCTAAAACTTATTTAACTTTACTTTCTTCACGGTTATTTTTTTCTTTAAAACTTTGAAACTTTAATATGATTTTGTTTTTAAAAAGGGAATCTACAATGTATTTAAATTACTCTTAATATTTATTTTAAGTGATATAAAATTTATGAAAATATCATAATATAATTTTTTAGTCAAGGATAGAAATGAATAGTGTTTATTTTCGATCCCATAATCATCTAAAAACAAAAATATTATGTATATGTTATAATAATTTCCAAAATCTTATCCGTTTTAAAATTTTAATATGTTATAATTTTAGCTTGAAAAAATGTTTTGAAAAAATATATATATAAATTAATATTAATTTCAAATTTAAAAATAATGCGAAACTTGTAAACATATAATTATAAGTCTCATATAATATTTAATTATTGAAAAAGAAAAGAACCTTTATGCAAATGAGCTAAGGTTCAGCTTCCACTGATTAAGCATGAGACAAAAGCAATATTAATCCTATTTTTTACTCCAGAAAGTAAAAGGAAAACTATGTTCATTTTTTTCCAATATAATACTCATTAGTTCTCCAATAATTATGGTCAAGCTCGTCTCCACTAGTTCTTTAGAATGAATGGACGATAACCTATGTTTTTAAATTACTAATTAAAGAACTATTCAAATAAAAAATATTCAAATGTTATTGATACATTCTTAGCGTGATTTTTAAGGAAAAAAATTTTCCTTAAAAATATATATAGATTACACTATCAAGGTTTTACTTTTGATTTGGTGTTGTGCATTTTCGAAATAATGATTTTAGACAATAACAAAAAGAAGGAAAAGTAGCATAGTTATAATAAAGAATTTGGATACGCCAAAGTTAAAGAAATGGTATTTTGTCTAAAGTAAAGGTGGGAAGGAAAATTAATAAAGTACATCAAATTGACATAAAGAAAGCGTGCGTTTGGATATTTGTTTGAAAAATTAGTTTTTAATTAACATCATTTCATACAACTCATTTAAAACAAATATATGAGTTAGTTCAAGATCAAATATTTTAATTAGTTTTCATATTATTTGTAAAGCTTTTTTGTGTAAGTTAGTTACTAATACATATATTATGAAAAATTATATGAGTTGTATTATTCAAACTATAAATTGAAGAACAAACTATGACTCATTGTGCAAAAACAACTAAAATTAATTACTTATTTCAGTAATTTAGATATTTACATTATTACTATGTCTAAAAGGAAAATGCAGATGTGTTGATGTTTTTCTTTGGATGATACTATTAATATTAAGATTAAAAAAAATCAAGTTATTTGAATTATAGTGTAATAAATAAATAAATTATAATGATAATATATTGTTTGTTTTAAGAAGAGAAAATAGAAGAGAATTCAAATTATTGAACATATTTTGTAACATACATATATTGCATACCTCTTTTTCTTTATTATGCTATATCTCTTATAAATTTATATATATTTTTTCTTGTATAAATTAACATATTTTAGGTGTACATTATTATTTTTTTCTTTGTTCGTTTACGTGTTAGACAAATACTTATTAGGTAAAACAATGTGATAGATAGGCGATGATTAAAGTGTGATTGAGACCGCAAGTAGGACATTTCAGTGTTATTTTCTTCCCCTATCATTTTTCTCGTTTATTTCGTTAGGTCATTTTAAGAGTTATCATAATTTCCATTCTATACATTTCTAATGCACAACATAAATATTTGTCAACTGTATTAGACATATTTTATTTATTTTAATCCATAATTTTCATTATATTTAGATTGAATGTCAATATGCATTAGACTTTGTTTTAAAATCTAAATTATTCTAATTAATATAATGAATCACATTGGATTATGCTCACTTATATTTAGCATCTAAAGTTACAAATAATTTCATGGTATATTGTAGGTCAATAAGACGATATTTACTCTCTTAAGTTTAAGAAATAAACACTAACAATAAACAACATGAGAAAACCTCTTTATTAGAAATATAAGGAGATTGGCATGGTAATAATACGAAAACACTCATAAACATTAGTTAAATAGTGATACTTCTTATGAAACCTTAAAAGTAATTTATCACATTTTAAAATATTCTAGTCCCATAGAATCTTTAGACAAATTTAATACAATTTCTACGGCATAAAAAGTAATAGAAAAAAGTTATAAAAAACGAAACATTTTTTTAAGAGAAAAATTCCCGTCTTAAAAAATACACAAATGGAAAATTGTATTCTTTTAGTTCTTAAAAAAAAAAAAAAGTAATCCATTAAGGTAATTTTAGCAAATTAAAAAAAGTATCAAGCTCAGTTCTTTTGCTTTGCTTAAAAAATGCAATGCTAGCACCAAAACCATTGGTTGGTAGGCCACAATGTTGGAACTATGTTTGTAGAAAACTCTTGTGAAAAAATAACATTGAAAATATAAATAAATTATTAGATGTGACTAATCATTTATATATGAATTCAATCTCATAAAAGTTTAACAACATGTACTAAAATTTTAGATTAAATGAGATATTATATTTTTTTTATTTGATTCATGATCTTATTTTTACAAAATAATCTCATTGCAAATAACCAACCATTTTCAAACATTGTTTTACTGATTTCAAACTAATATTTATGCTACTAATATATAAATTATTTTTTTATACAATTTGCATTGTCATTATTAACATTGGTGGGTATAATAAGTAGTTTATGTTCTCTGGATCTAAATCATGTTGTAAAATGTTTATATATATAAAAACATAATTTAGGGTAGTTAGGTTAAATGAGCAATAGATGGTATCCACGTAAGGTAGGGAGGGGTTAGATGAGATGGGACGTTTCATATTCATGAATGGTGATGAAAATGAGTTGAAAGGTGAATCATGTGGCCAGAATTGAGCATTTTGGTAGTACTACTACACCTTTGTCTCATCGCTAGCGTTCAAGGACATTTTGGTTCCTTGCTACGTTTCTGAGCACTTTTCTCCATCACATCAAACCTATATTTTCAAAAAATCACAAACTTTTGTTTTTTTGGGGTTTAGAAAATATATCTTCCACGATTTTTTGTAAAGACTACTAGTCTGTTGACACTGATGAAATGCCACGAAAACCAAATCGAGGTGACAAGTGAGAGAGTTAATGTTGTTCAATTTCTAGAATAGAAGTAGGTGTGCTAATTTCTGCATCTGTATGACTGTTTGGCCGAAAGGAGGAATTTTTTTACTGTCATGAAAAGTGCATTGAGCAATGTTTTATTCCCAATTGCGGCGAAATAAAGTTAAAACATGAAGACCATCAATTATTGTTCCAAGCAAAACTCTGATCTGACTCAAACACACGAGGTATTTGCAGTTCCTGTTATATGACTTTTGTATTCAAAGCTGATACGCAGTTGAGTTGATAAGCCATATTTTGTCTGAGATAGAGCCCATGAGCATGAGGAGGTTTCAAGCTCCAAAATACACATGGAGTGGTATCTATACTTTCTTCAACAATATCTGTTCAAAAATAACTTCTCCCTTTCAAATAGTATTCTAAGTAAAGGGACATTTAGTAGGTTGTTTTTAAAAGATATGAAACAAAAAGAAATTACACCCAATAGATTTAAAGAAAGAAATATGGGGAATAATTGGCCACACTTTTAATCTTGCCACTTCTAATTTCAATGTCTGGCAATCAGTTACAAATTTCCCCAAAGAGAAAACTAAGAATATTATCATAGAAATTAATGATACAATTTTGAAATGGGAGAAGAAAAAAAGTTGCTATATAATAAATCTTAACACAGCGCATAATGTTGGAGAAGCCTATTGGCTTCCCTAAGACCACTGAAGTAAGCTCCATGAGTTGTGGAATAATGGGTTCTGTGGGTTGCTTCCCCTGCAAACAAGATTTGAAGTGGTGGTGAAGCAGAAGGGTGGCTACTGCTACGTTTTGGCAAAGGTTCTGCCATTGTATCAAAATCATCTCCACTTGATCCAACTGCCACATGACTGTACGAACCTAAAAATAAAGGATCTGTTCCCCATTTGCTTTTCAAGACTTCACTGAATTTCACCTCATAGTCGTGAGAGTACTCAACTGAATGTGACAGGAAGCATGAAATTGTGTCCGAAACCCCTTTAATGATCTCTTCATCTTTTAGTGACTCAAGTGCCAGAGCTTCTTCCCCAGCAAACCATGATAAGAGGACACTAGAATTGTTGTAGATAGGACAAATCGTAGCTGTCCTCCTCATCCACCAGGGTATTTTCTTGTGCCTAAACACAGATTGAGGTGAATGGAACACCATTTGCAAGAAGGGGAACCCTTTGGAGTGTTCATCTCTTCTTCCATGAGGAGGACTCAATTGCATGAACAACTTATTGACAACACCAAAACCAAGCCTTGAAATAGCCTCGGCTTTAAAAGAGGGTAGAGGGGGATGGAACATTAACATACCTGAATCATCGTCCCGAATGGAAGCCTTCAACACTCCCAGTGAAACCGTGACAATGACATGATCCGCAGACATAATGGAGCCATCAGAGAAGTGTAGCACCACAGGCCTGGTACATGTTCCATTTTCCATATTCATCGCCTCGTGTCTCTCGGGTTGCCATTCTATTCTTGTGACTTTTCTACCCAACTGAACTAAACCAGGTGGTAGCACAGATGCTAACGATTCAATTATGCTTGAGTAGCCTTTAGCAATTGTGATTTCTTCACCTGGAAACATCTGGTATTCACTTTCTGCGCCATAATCCAAAGTTAACAAGTCAGCAACAGATGTACAAGTCCTCTGTGTGTTCTCATGCATGGCAAATATTGCTTCATCAACCAACTTCCTACTCCACTTTCCAAACCCTTTGAGCTCCTTTTCCTCTTTTGATGAACCCCAATAAGCATCAAGGCCTTGTCTGAGAAAAGAGCCAACACTGAGGTTTCCGCTGTCACCCTTGGTTGTTGTTGTTGTTGTTGTTGACATCTTTCCCTGAGCATGGTCCATGAGATTGTTGAAAAGCTTGGTGATGGGGTGAACAAATGAAGAGTTTAGCACAAAGCCACCTTCAGCAATGGTGGTGGCCTTATTCTCATTCCCATCCATGCACTCCCAAGGCTGGTCACACTCAAGTGCATGGATTTGTTGGGCTATTTTGTGAATTGGACTTCCTCCAATTCCATGGATCCAAGTAGCACCCATCTCAATCCGGTCACCACCAAACTCAGAAGTGTTGATTCTCCCACCAATCCTGTTTCCACCTTCCACAACACGCACCTCAAACAAGTCCTTTGAGGCAGTCACACTGTGAAGCTTGTTGGCAGCAGTGAGGCCTGCCATTCCTGCTCCAATTATCACAATTCGTGCCTTCTTCACCGCCATTGTTGCCACCTAGCTTTCCTTTTTGTCCCACCAATGAAACAAGATTAGAGAAGTAAAAAATACACAATACAAAGTGGTATGTATGAGTACGAAGGCAACGGACTTATAAGCGGGTGATTTTGTTGTTTTGTCAAGAATCAAAAGTACTTGGTGTTTTCTATTTCCGAAAAAAAATGTTACAAACCAAAATGAATTTGAAGTGACATACTATGTTTCAAAAAACAAGTTCTAAGAAGAGACACGTAATCATTTAATTAATAAACTTTATTCGTTTACCTTTTTCTAGTGACTTCTTTCCGCACACTATAATTTATTATGCCCTAATAAAGACAGCGCTCTACTTTTGCTTTATCTCTCTGTAACACTACAGTTACTTTGAAATTCTCACTTCCATTGTTTCCACAAGTTATTCAAGTAATTTTCAGCTTATTCTTCTCCACTTATAATCGAGGTCCATTATTAAGCAGATTTTATTCAAAAAAATAGATGCTATGAGATTAAAAAAAAAAAACTGAATGAAAGTAAAAACAGGAATCACAGCTGATAAAAATGCAAGGAAAAGGGGGGCCATGTTGAGTATTTAGAGAGAGTAATAATTGAAAGACAGGTACTGTGGTGAGCACTGAGGTACTTAAGCTGTGGCCCGCGCCACACCGCCCAGAACAAACAAAAGAAGATGTACAATACATTAAAGAAGGACAAAACAATTTTGATAAGCCACTCCTCATAATTCTTTCTTTGCTTTAAGGAAAAATAGAAAGCCAGACAAGTTTTTTGTTATACAGAATTTTAAGAAAATAAAATATGATGCAAGAATCATTTTTCATTGTAAAACCATAAAAAGTATAAACATTTTTTTTCCTTGATATAACTAGGGTTGAATTGATTAAAATCTTAACTTTTATAAATTAGAAAAATATTAAAAAAATAGATCTTATTAAAATCAATTAGTTAAAATAAAAAAATATTTATTATAAAATAGATTAAATATTCAAAATTCACATCTATCGGTAGAAAAAAGACATTGCAAAATAACTTTTTTTTTCTGTGAAAAAAAAAAGAAATAACTTTATATGCCTTAAAATTAATTAGAACCAATCAAATATCGAAACATGGCATTGAATATGCCCTGTTTGGTTGTTTTGCTTTATTATTCGATAAGCCATAAACGCAGTCAATCTTTTAAAGCATGAGTGTCTTACAGCAATTAATTTTGTTAAATATCATTAGCAAACCATAATATTACTCACTAGTAAGAATCTACCACCTCTCAAAATCAGAAATATTAATATATTTTTAGTACCAAGACACAATGAATGAAGAAAAATACCTGTGATCAATAAAAGGAATACTTATAATTGAGGAACCATCTATTTTTAAGAAATCAAATATAATAAATTTCAAAATTAATAATTTTATCCACGTCATGGCTCTGTTTATAAAGGGTGTTATTAATTTAAAACAATCAATAATAATTTTGGTTAATAGATACATCTCATATAATATAAAATAAAAAGTAAATTTAAAATATTATCAATGTGTCGAATCAAACTGAATTTCGTTTTGACATGGCAAAATATCTTTGTCTGGTTTCTACTTTTGCTGAAGAAGAGAAACATGATCGAGACTTTGTCGCACCTCAATTTGACAGAAAGTGATTAATCTACGATCATGTTGGAATGGGTACAAAAGTGGTCAAGGATTTGTTCCACTCACTTTACACCACTCATCTTTTCAAATAAGCTTATGAAATTTCTACCACCAACAAAAACATCATCACATAATCATTCACGTACATTCACAAATATCATACAGGAATTGAAATGAACCAGAATTCATATTCAATTTCCTCTTTTAACAGGGTTATGCTACATTTAGATCTCAGTTTTTTTTTTTAATATTTCTTTTATAAATCTTTTAATCTAAATTATAAAACCCTAGCAATAAAACTTTTGAAAAGATCTTAAAAAAGCTGCATAATTATTTTATTTAAATTTTATATTTTGAAAAATTAATTAGATGTATATTTTTTAAGGTTATTATTTGTGTTATGGCTCAAGGGATCTAGCCTTTTAGGTCTTCTTCCTTCCTTTTATAATCAAATTTCTCTTTAGAGTTTTCTCTTGGCTCATTTATCGGTCTCAATAATATCTTATTTCTCGTACTTATCTACGTATCGGACCCATTAGGTATCAATCAAGTTCATCTCTCCCAAATGAGTTTATCTTGACTCACTTTACTCATACAGATTGAACTCGAGCCCAACCGGACCCAATCTCTATGCACATACCACAACCCCAAGTCTTAAATTAGAAAAATATTTCTAATGTGAAGACTAAAAACCGAAATAAACGTTGAATACACTTCATCCCTCAATATTATGATATAATTGCAAAGTTCAACCACTTAAAGGGAATAAACAACGAGTGGTGATATTTTGACAACCACAAATCATACAACCCTTCAAACAACTCACTTTTATTAATATAATAATCTATCAAATGATTTAATAAAAATAAAAATAAAGTAAAACTATTATTATAATATAAAAAGAGAGTTGTTTACGTGAGTTGTATGAATTTGGGTTGTCAAAGTATCATTTTTCATAAACAACCATTAATAATCAGACTTACAGTGAACGTCGTCTTGATGTAGAGTGTGAAAATTGCTTCCGCGAGTTCTAATCTTAGTTCGCATTCCAAACATAGCTCGCATTTCGAATATAGCTCGCATTCCGAGCATAGGTCGTATTCCGCACATAACTTGTATTCTGAGCATAAGTTGCATTCTGATTATAGTGCGCATTTCGCATATAGGTCGCATTTTGACCCTAATGCGCATTTCGCACATAGCTCGCATTCCGACCATAGTGTGCATTTCGCACATAGCTCGCATTCCAAGTATAGGTCGCATTCTGAGCATAGGCTGCATTTCGACCATAGTGCGTATTTCGCACATAGGTCGCATTCCGAGCATAGGTCGCATTCTAACCCTAGTATGCATTCCGTACATAGCTCGCATTTCGAGCATAGTTCCTATTGGAACAAATAAAAAACAATTCTTTTAAATAACAAAAGAGATTTTAAATAACAGAAGAGAAAAGAATTGTCTAAAGAGAACTTTTTATTGATATTGTTGCCCCATTAAAACCCTTGAAAGAAAAAATATCTTACTATAAGATTAACAAACTTCCAAGAAAAAGAGTACAACTCAGTCTGTCGCCATGCGCTGGGCTTCTTCAGTTTGTCGCTGCAACTCTTCCATTTGACCAAGGATTAGTTGTATCGCTACGTTATTTGGGTCAACCCCGTTAGGGTCTTGATTGTTTCGGTTGTTGGTATAAGTCACCATGATTGTTTTGAACGTGGAGTAGGAAAAATTTTATTTGTCCCACGATAGGCGCCAATGTTCTGGTTCAAGGGATCTAGCCTTTTAGGTCTTCTCCCTCCCCTTTATAATCAAAATTATCTTTAGGATTTTTCTCTTGGCGCATTTATCGGTCTCAATAATATCTTATTTCCCGTATTATTTACGTATCGGACCCATTAGATATCAATCAAGTCTATCTCCCTTAAATGGGTTTATCTTGACCCACTTTACTAATCCAGTTGGACTAGAGTCTAACCAGACTCAATCTCTAATACCAATTTGTAAAAACATAATTATGATATGATTTGAAGATTGAGCAGTTCGAGAATTGTTGTTCTATTCTACTTGACATTGGCGATAATCGATGGGAGCGATTTGGTTGTAAGAGAATCAGACAATGGTTTATATCAAGATCAATTCTGTCGAAAATTGTGAATGAAAAACATGACACATCAGAAATAACAAGACCAACCAACCATGGAGCACACTAATTTTATCATTATTTCTTTTTCAGGCATTCACCAAGTCATGAAGTATAATTATTTTTTTAATAGTAGTACAACTTAAAGAATTTTCGCGATTTTTTTTTTATAAACTTGGGGCATTTATTAAAGAAGTTTAACATATTTTTTTCATCGTAAAATATTTGTTATGTTGACAATATAAATTTCATTTTATAGTTGTTTATAAAATAATTACAAAATTCTTAAGAAAGTGAGTAAAAAAATATATTCAATGTTTCTTAACTATGCAACTGATACACAAGATATAAAATGGTTGATATAAAAAAGAATTATTGATCAATAGGTGCTGGTATCAACGGGGAAGCTTAAGTCACCCTCTCTTTTACTTTATCTTGGCCGATCATGTTTGTCCAAGTTCATAAAATTATTACAGACTCAGTCGAATCTTCCATATTTCCAGTTCACTTTCTTAAGAATCTAGGAATATTCATGATATCAAACACCACCTTGTGATTAACATTCGATGCGGAATTTAATCACTTCCTTTCCTGTGTTTGCAATTTAGATTTTAAATATCTATGAGAAAATTAAAATGTCAGAATTCGTGGCAAAAATTCCAGAAGGCATTTTGTTGGTTGATTACGCACTGTTAAGGATAAATAGAGTATTTGAACACACAAATTGTAGGTTCTCAGCCCAAGGCTCAGCAAAAATAGGAGGAATTTTGAGAGCAAACATTTGGTAGAAGCAGGAAAAGGAACAAAGTAATGGGACCATTTGTACGGGTCCAGAAGTTTACGTGGGGAAGGAACATTGAGGTACTTTCTTCTGCTATTTCTCGTCCGGTATCTCCATTAATTTTGTCCTGCGCCAAGTAAAATAATTAAAATATTTTTTCTTCTGTTTCAAATCTTAACTCCTCCTTTTATTTTTCTGCAAAATTTGTGCGTATTTGAATTTTATAAAATACCCAATTCAGAATCTATTTTTAGAGTAGTTTTGTTTAAAATAAATTTAAAAATATCTATTCCAAAATGCATTTTTAAAAAAGCTAATTTAAAAATGCACCTCATATTAAATGTTTTGAGATGCGGTTCAAGAAAATATATTCCAAACAAAAATTTTCAGAAATTTTCAGAAACATGATCTAAAAATAGATTCTAAAATATATTTTTAGAATTAATTTTCTAGAATAAATCGACGAAAAATCGATTCTAAAAATGATTCTATAACCCATTTTTGAAATATGTTTGAAACTATATTCCAAATCTCTGGAATTGTTTCAATCCCGAAATATATTTTTAAGCCAAAAATCTTGTTACACAACATAAATGGTAAACTATTAATACAAATTAAAAATAATTAGAGATTCTTATCTGATTCTTACAAGAAATAATATGAGAAGAAAGATTGAAAATACTTTGGTAGAATTTAAAAATAAAATATTTAAAGGTTTAAAATCCAGAGATAAACACTTAAAAAATAAAGACAGATATTAGGATTTAATTTAATTATTGCAAGTAAAAAACTATGGAAATGTAGAATGAAAGTGCATACATTTAATGATAGATTCACAGCTCTGCTCTAGCCTCTACATTTTTTGTTACGTAAAGAGTCCAAGAGAGTGAATTGATTGCTTGGGTTTAAATATAAATATCATAAAACAAAAAAAAATGCAGCCCAAATAAAACAATAACTATAAGACTTGACATTTGTTTATTTACTATTTTTAGAAACAGACTTAAGAAATATTCGGATAATTCAATTTATGCTGCTGGAATCTGAGAATCAAAATTACATATTTGCAGTTAGTAGAAAATTAAAATTGCATTTACTCCTAGAAAATAAGAGAAAAAAATGTTTGGAGCCTATTATACTGATTTACGAGATTCTTATCATTTCATTACAAAAGTCTTAAGAATGTCGATAGACTCTTAATAACACAAATGCTCTCCACAATTTAAAACAAAGAGTGTTGCATGAAGAAAAGTTCATTCGCTCAAAAAGTAAAAATCAGAGTATATCAGTTTTAGTTCTATTTGGAATATTGGCAATTCACTCGATAGGTGATATTATAATTGTTGATTTATACTAATTTGACAAATCGTAATAATTGTGACATTTTAAACAATTGGAGAGAATTAAAAATAAATTGTTAGTCCACCATTTTTTTCTCTCCTTAATGGATAGAAAATTTGATTAATCAGTTGCACTTTTCGCTCAGCACACATAAAATCACCCAACCCGGATCAGAGAAAATAACGCAGTTGATACTATCAACCATGACGTTCATCAGCATTTAACATATGAAAAATTTAAAACAGATTCACGGTTATAAACTATCTCATATATCATAATCTTCTTCAACATTACACTTCACCAACATTGTCATTGATAGATTAAGAACATGACTGTGAGTCAGATATCAAAATAAATCGTCCAATGCAATTTTTCATTTAAAGCTATCTGTTTAGCAAAATTTTCCTCCAATTCAATGCTTAATTAGACATAAACGCCGCACGCAATTAAGAGGAACAAGGACCCAAAACCCTGTCAAGAAAATAGACACATGATAAGTTTACCATATCATACCAGTTTCACGTCAAAAAATGATTGAACAAAAATATATATACCAAGAAGATTGATGCCACCGCTCCAGTTGTCAGCTCCTGGACAAGTGAACGACTTTTCCTAGAAGAGGTTGCTTCATATCTGCAAATAATACACATCAATTTTTTTTATGTCTAAAGAGGAATATAGATACAATGACAGCAGTGTTAGCGTTGTATGAATATTCATAGTTCATGAAACTAGATCTAACAGGATAAGGGGAAATTCCTGATGTCTTTTAAGATTTTAAACATAGTTAAATAGCACAAAATATAAGAAAATAAAGTCCATGCCAAACATACACCTACAACATATCACTAATAGGTCACAAAATAATAATATTATTCCGCTCTGGGGAAAGATTTCATATATATAAGCATGTACCAACAACAAAAGTTCTCACGAGATAACACAAAGCCAGACAAGACATCAGATCAAGGATGATAAATAGCCATTTTGACATGGCAACTTTCTATATCTCTTAGACAGTGGATTTAACTCAATTCCATGAAACCGGCTTATAAAGTAAGACTCTAACTATATCTTAGTCACATCATTATTGGATATGGGACTAAACCACCACCTTTGATGTTAATTAAAGCAATCTTAAAAGAGGCGACAACTAAGGTGAGTCAGGGTCAGGGCTAACAAGAATTATAGCAGCTTTCCAACAAAGCGTGTAACCCAGGTATGGATGAGATTGACTGAACTACTATTTAGATGTGTCTATACTTCGTTGCGCATCGGCTCATTTGGCTGGTTAAACAACAAATGTGAAAAAAGGGGCCAATTTTGAAGTCACACGAAAAAAATCATTAAGTTAAGCATATTTTCCATTAAATTAATATGGAAGTAACAACATCCTGAACATACCCACAGTATTACCCTTGGTATAGAAGAATGTAATTCTGCAAGCTCCTTTGTTGGTCTGAATTTAACAAATTACATCCTATGTCAAACTTATTAGTGTACAAAATCTCTACCCCAAGCAGCCAGTTGACTTAAGATTGTTCCACATTTGGTGCTTATAACAAGAGAAATCTACATTCCATCAGTGACAAAAACTTATCATAAACACAAAACTTGCCTAAGTACTTTTTGTAATGTCTTCCAATTAGAACTGGAAGTTTCACCTTAACGACCTATGCTAACCACTAAACATTACTACAGAAATGACTGGTGTGAAACTCCAATTCTGAGTTTCTTGTTTCCCATCTCAGAAAACTTGCCCTCTGTTGACTTCGTATTTGCTATCACTTACTGAGACTAAGGTAGCAACAAAGAGACATTTTCCAATAAACTCATAGATTAATGAAACCCAGCTTTCTTAATGTTGAGTTAAATCCGAAAGATTCAAAAAGTCACCGAAACCCTTTTCATAATTTGCAAGCTAATTGAAAGATGAAAATCGAAATTGAAAAAGTAGATCGAGAAGGAACTCACATGAAGAAAGAGGCGGTCAAGACGAGGCCGATGGCGAAGGTGAAGACGGAGAGTGTGGGATACCACGAATCGGGCACAGGACTCGTGATCGGTTTTGGAGCCTTTCAAAGAAATTAAAGACATAAGATGAGGAAATCGAAATGGAAATGGATATCGAAATTGAAATTGAAATTGAAATTGAAATTGAGATGAAAGAAGGAAAATGAAACTGAATTACCATCAGAGAATGCAGAGATTACAACACTGGATCTTGCACGTTCCGATGTACAGACACCTTGCTTCTCTAGCTGACTCTGCTCTATATTTCAGCGTCAGCGCGAGTCACCTCACCTTACACTTCCACTAAGCCCAACTTAGCATTTCGATCTTCTACAGCCCAACTTGTCAGGCCCAAACTCTAACATTGGGTTACAAGTTGACCCAAGAAAAGCTCCTATTCCCACCCCAATCTAAGTTTTGCAAATTATCTAGTAATTGATCTAGAAGCGCTTTTTTTTTTTTTTTTTTTTCAATTTTAAGTACTGCCTCATAGAAACAAAAAAAAGTAATTCAATTAATTAATTTTTAGACTATTTTTTTTGTTTTAATCATTTTAATTTTAAATTAACATGATAAAAAAAGTGTTGACAGGATTGGATTGATCGGGAATTTTAAATCACTTCGTTAACTTGTTTGATACTCGAATTTATGTAAATAAATTTTACCTTATTTTTATAAGCTATTTCAAGCGACTTTACGAAAATAACCTAGTTTATAAATTACTTATTTTTTTATCTTTATTTATTGTTTGAATAATTTTTCATCTCAACTGACTAATATGTTTCAGTTGACTTATTTCTTAATTTTAGCAAACATTTTCGATTCAATAAGCTAGTTTGTGAGCTTTTCAATTAGTTGCCTTTTTTACTTCATATCTAAAACAAATAAATTTGATTCATTTTTATATTTATGTTTCTCAATTTAAACTAATCTGTATATCGATAAACTATTTGTTAACTTTTAAATAATACATTTTAGATTTAGTAATCTATCCTTTTTACTGAGGTTAAACATATTTTAAATATGACAGTTTTTGTATTTAGTCCCTCAAAAATAAACTTTCCTCTTTTACTTCATTATTTATAAAAGTGTATTAGATATAGTCTTTATTTTTAAAAGAAAAAAATGATTTTAGTCCCTAATTTATACAAATACTGGTCATATATGTCACATTTCTGTAAAAAGAGACCAAAATGTATCTCTTTTTTTTCTCTCTCTCTCTCTATCTATCTATCTATCTATCTATCTATCTATATCTATATATATATATATATATATATATATATATATATATATATATATATATATATATATATATATATTTCGGGGATTAAGAGGAGTCGGGTTATTTGTGGGATTAAAAATATCTTTGAACAATATTTTATTTATTTATTTTGATTTTCTTATAATCTTTGTTTAGTTTTATAAAGTGTCTAAAGTTAAATTTTTATTTTATCGTAATCCATGTGACCGAAATTTAGAAACTATCCATGATAGCTTCTTATCTAATGTAAATTGAATTCATGAAAATGTGTAATTAATGAAACATGGCCAATTCTTTAAAATCTAAACTATGAAAATCAACCCATCAACAAACTCGGCTGTTATTACAATCAGAACGCAAAGATAGTATACGTCATTACCATTTTTTCTTTTTAGGAGGTCCACTGTCCCCACATTAAAAATCGTTGTCATTACTTGATTATGAAAGTATGATTTCTAAACCGGTTTACTTCAACATGAATACCATTACATAAATATGATTTATTTTAGTGTAGATGGTAACCAATTGTGTAGCCTTCACTGTTGTTTTTATACTGACATGAAATATTTACATGAAAATGAAATGAGTCTTCTTCGCGATAGGACTAACATTTTTTAGGTGCCAAGAATCAGGACTTGGTCATAGTTCTAAGCAGATAGCCTTCATCAATCAACTAAACCATAAGTAGGAATACCTCCTTCAGTTATCCTACACCATCAAGGTAGATTTGCATTGCTTTGTCTCCTCGGAATGGGAACCGGTTACAGGACTTCAGCAGAATAGCAGCAAAGCACGGCCACTTTATCTACAACATGCTTTTGTTTCTAAGTTAAGCCTAGTAAGACTCTCAAGCTGAGTGAATGGCTCTTGCAAAGTTAGGATTATGAAGTGCATATTAACAAATCCAGGTAGTGCAATAGCCACAGAAAAGTAAAAAAAAAAAAAAAAAAAATTCTTCATGGGAATCTGATTACAACTTTAACATAGTTCCATGTTCACTGACACTGCCTCTAGAAAGACTTCTAATTATCTGCCACAACCGCCAGCTTCTTCCAGTTCTCAGAGGACCTGAATAAGAGTTGCTTCTGAACAATCCAAACTCCACCCTGGTAAATCTTGCTGATGAACTGCACAGTTCCGATGCTGCTAAGCCTCTTTCAATATCAACCCCAGAATCAAAGTTAGTAGCTGAGAATTGGCTTTGGAGATTATCTGTTAGGTGACCAGAAACAGTGCTTATTTCAAGATCTAAATCAACAGATAAATCCTCCAGGCTACACCTTCTTGAACCTGCTTCTTCTTTTGCTTCATCACATTCATTACATACAAGTTTTAGAGCCTGCACAACCTCACCCATGAAGGGACGGTTTGATACCTCTGGTTGCACACACATTGAAGAAATGGCCGCAACCTTAGCCACACTATCAAAAGGCACATCAGCTCCTAGAGACGGGTCTATCATTGTTTCACATCCTTCTTTACTTGTGAGATGTGGACGAGCCCAAGCAATAAGATTCTCTTGACCAGGAGCTTGTGACATGTCTACAGGTTTTCTTCCAGTCAAAAGTTCAAGAAGAACAACACCATAGCTGTACACATCACTTTTAACAAGAAGATGTCCAGTCATTGCATACTCCGGCGCCACATACCTATATTAATTTTTCAAGATATATATGTCAGCAAAGGCATGATAGTGAAAATTAATTAGGAGAAACTAGGTTTTGACCAGTGCCGATTTTGTTATGTATTTAAAATTCAACAGCTGTTCTATTGAATGCATATGATAAGAAAAGAGAAATGCAAAGGTAGATTACAGCAACTAACAGGATGGAATGCCATAAGTATAATGTATCCTCTTAAAAAAACTTCCTCTCCCTTTTTTGAAGCCATTAAAATATTTGGACTGGTTGATTTACCAGCACTATAAAACGCAATATCGGAAGATAATTTTTGCTTACAAGATATAAATATAGTTCCATTTGGATAACTTGGATGGAGATGAAGTTATAGATGGATACCTAGTTCAGTTCCCATGACAAATCACCAGAAATAGTTGTCACCTTTTATTTATTGCTATATTTTCTCTTCTTTCAAAACAATAGCTAATGTTAGTCAAGGAAACAATTACTATTGTTAAAATATTTCAGCTTACATGTGATAGAAAAGTTTTTAGAGATACGAACAAACTTTATTTCTAAGACGTGTATAAGCACTGTCCTTAAGGACTTATCCGCAGTGTATTGCGCAAGTCCCTCAGGATACAACAGAAACTTCTCGGAATATCCGAGGATCTTAGAAACTAGCAAGAAATTCTCAAAAGAGTAAATTAACCTAGGATAACAAAAAGAAGAGTAGAGAAAAGAAGACGAGAGAGGTGTGTTTTTGAAAAGTGTGAAGTGATCTCTATTGATAAGAGAAAGTATGTAACAGAAATACTTGGTAATGGGTATGTAACATTCTCTTAAACGTTTGTACATTCTTTGAAACAGTCTTCTACAACGTGTGAGAACATGTTCTCTGAAATGATCTTCTGTATCATGTAAGAACAAGAACACGTTCTCTGAAACGATTTCTATAACTCGTGAGAATACGTTCTAAGTTTTGCAATATCTCTTAATTTATAACAACATTTATAACAACATGTTCGTGAATGATACTCAAAATAAACGACCAGAGGCGAATGTCTTTTGGCATGGCCAAAGAAATAATTCATTTGACATGACACGACAAATCAACAGGAAATGGATGGCTGGAATCTGAAAAGATAAAATTTTCCAAAACAGGTAAATAAAAGGAAGAAGACTTCATACCCGAAAGTTCCCATGACGCGTGTTGATATGTGTTTGTTCTCATCAGTTGCTGTTCGAGCCAATCCAAAATCAGATACTTTTGGTGTAAAATCATTTTCCAACAATATGTTGCTAGATTTGAAATCTCTATGTATAACACGGGGACTTGAATCTTCATGCAAATAAGCTAAACCACGAGCTGCACCAAGAGCTATCTTCAACCGGGCACTCCAATCGAGGGGGCTGTTTTCCCTGTCAACCCCTATCAGAAGACAATAGAATAAAATATTAACATTATTTTGAAGAACTAACAAACCTCAAGAACGAAGTACGCAAATAACAAGCAGATTGTACCATGTAAATGAGATTCCACGCTTCCATTTGGAACAAGTTCATAAACCAAGCAGCGAAAGCTGTCTTCAATACATAAACCAATTAACTTGACCAAATTTCTATGGTGAAGACGGCTGAGCATCTCAACTTCAGCTAAGAATTCACGATCACCATGATGATCCTCCCTCTTTAAAACCTTTATCGCCACTTTCGTCCCATCTTCCTGGATACCACTATACACACGCCCAGAACCGCCCTCTCCAAGTATTCTTGAAGCATGGAAATCATTAGTAGCTTTCACAATGTCATTCATAGTGTAAGTCTTAGCAGATCCTGTGTAAGCAGCAATGCTAGAACGAAATGATGTGGAAACCGAACCAACTCCCCCACCTCTATGTGATCCAGCAGTACCTGTGAAATTCATGTTCTGTAAGTAAAAGTGATCCAAAATGATAAAAGAATCAAGTTGTCTGTCACATCTCACAATTAAACTGTGTTCAGAAGAATAGATCAAGAATAATTTTATTTCAAAATATACCATTTTATTCTAGTTTTTGAAATTGACTTTTTTTTTTTTAAACACCCTTTTTCCTACCTCAACAGTAAATTTGTAATATATCAAAAAATGTTTTTAATTTTTAACCAACGTCAATAAACTGACAGGGAAAATTGCAGGAGCTAGTTCACCTGGTTCTTTGGTAAGTGAAGGAGACGAAAGCTGTCGTACGGTTGCTGCTGGCTGACTAACGTGATCTCTGAACTTGAACATGACCCAAGCAGCAGCAGCAGCACATATGACAGCTGCTAAAGATACTGAAACGGCAATAATTGCAATTATGCTTCTGCTAAGTCCACCTTCATGTTGTCTCGTCTGTATGTCAACCCCAAAGGGCTTTATTGTCCTTCCATTATTGCCATCAGTGGGATATGGAACACCACTGAACGAGTTTAGGCTTGAAGGAGGTAAAGGAGGAGAGGGAGGTAAACCTATATATATATATATAGAATTAGGACCCCATGAAATTTCTCATAAAAAGAGACAGAAAAATGGGGTCATACAAAAAAATGAAATTTACGTACCTGGATAACTCACGTATAACACGTCGTAGGATCCAAAGTAGAAAGCTTTGATAAGGACCTTTTCGTGCCAAAATCTCTCAGAAGTCAGAAAGGCTGTAGTATTATCAAACTGTTCCCCACGTGGAACCAAATCAATAAGGACAACAGTTTTCTCAGGTTGTTGGTTTACTGCATTTGCTCCCATAATGCGAACTTGACTTTGTTTCATGAAAACCCCAGCGGCAATTTCAGAAGCTAGTTCTGAAACCAAAGGGAAGAAGGTATAAAGTGAAACACTAAGGCGAAGACCAACTCGCATGGGCCATACGCATCTGCAAGGTTCTCCAGGGGGAGAATTTGTATAAGGTTCTGTGCAGACAGTTGATAAACAATCTGAAATATGTATAATTCAACATGATGAATTAGGCTGATAAAAGTCCAAAATGGGGGGTAGCAGCATTATTAAGAAAAGAAAGAATTAACCTTCATTGGGAGGTGGTGGTGGCAGTGCTTGAACTGGAGGCAGGAAAGGCATATTAGGTCTCTTCGAAGAAGACTCATATGGAGCTTCTTTAGGAGGGAAAATGGTACATGCAATAATAAAACCAAAGAATAATGTAGAGTAATAATTATGTAATTTCTAAGTAATGAAGGGACATGATTTTCTTAGTTATTTTTAACGAAAAATAAGTATGGAATTTCTGTAACCCAGAAAAAGGATGAAAGTTCAGCCTTTCATACTTCCAGTTCGGTGAGATGCGAGTTTGGTTGATGGAGAACGAGCAGGTGAAACTTGGTCCATGTGTGAATGAATAGGGGAAGAGAATGGGAAAACTGAAGAATCTAACCATTCAAACAAATTATAATAAGAGCAATTAGAAACGCCTTTTGTTTCCTTCTATTCTCATAGAATAAACTTATAAAAAAACTATGATACTAATATAGGTACTTGAAATCATTGGTGGTTCAACATAATGTCTTTGTCCACTCCTTAAAGACAATAAAGGAGGAACTTCTACATCAAATGTGTAAAATAAAAATTTGTTATATATTAGCAAAGAACTTCATTTTTTAGCACAATTTTAACCAAGTCATGTGTATAGCAAACCTTCGTGTTTTGAAATGGGTGGGGAAACCATATATGATGATGCAGGAGCAGAGTTGATGATTATCTCCTTTGTATGAGGATGTTTGTGAAATGAGGATGACAATGCGGGAGAACGATGTTCTTTATTCGAAGGAGATTTAGGAGATGAGATCAATGGCTCGGCAGCATGATGCGATTGCATTGACTTTTGTGCTGCGGGAGCTACAGCAGAAAAAGAATAGTTGGTTGCATATAAAATATAATTTTAATTTTGGTAAGTGGTTACTGAATTGCCAATAACATTCCAGTAAGATGTCAATTTTGTATTGTTTTGACAATTTTTAAGCTGAACTCCATTGTTATGATAATCTTGTGTAGCTTATGCTCTTGGAACAATGTACAATTTTTTAGATGAATGCAACTTCTGCAATAGAATAAGTTTATTATAGCTGGAAGTATATTAGAAAAAAACTTTTGATATAGAAATAGTGTTAGCCTACCTTGAGCAGGGGAGTGTATTACAGCTGGAAGTGGCTTTGGATTTCTGGACAAAGGAGCAACAACTGGTGCTCCACCTTTCTTCCAATTGATGTTTCTCAACGGAGTGGGAGAGGCTACAGGCTCTGCACGGCATGCTATGTGTTAATCAAGTGTCCATGAATTTAAAGATATAAGAAATTAAAGCAGATACAACATGCTGAGCACTCTAGAATTATAGCTGCAGGAGAACATTTGAATATTAAGAAAAAAAATGAAAAGTAAAATAGATTTAATTATCTACGTCCTACTAGAAAATTGAATGCTGAGAGTTGTAACTAAACAACTAAGACGAAAACATATTCTCCTGCATGTCCAGTAGCTAAATTTCTGTCTAATTATGTTGAACATATAGCAACAAACATCAATTCATCACAAAAACCTTTGTGTAAACAACAACATGATCATGATTTTGTTATTTCTTTGTGAAAGGAGTAAAATTAAGCATGTTAAAGAAAATTACATATTAGTCCTGAGATTGATCTTTTTTTAATCTCAATTTGATGGTAAAGTCATCTGAATTCATATTTCTCAATTACACATTATTAAGTGATTTTGAACAGGAGAGTACAATCACACCACTTTTGGATTATCAACAGCAATACTAATTCAAACAGGCAGCAAAATATACATGAGTTTTACACATCAAATTTTCGTTAATTTAAGCGATTTGTGGAGATGTTATAAACATGGAAATGAAGAAGCTGAATGATTTAATAGCAAAATGCAATTGTACAGTATTTTAAGAACAAATGACAATAGAACGGAAAATCATAGAACAGCCTCCTTTCTCAAAATTTGCACCTGGTAATTTTGATGGAGATGCTACTGGAAAAATTGGATGGACCAATGGTGGTTTAAATGGAAATGCACTTGAAGGTGGTGTAACTGGTTCTGCACGAATTCAACAAACGAATAAAGAGAAAATAGATAACTTTGATATTAATTTAAACTTTATCTTCCTCTTCTCTTTCATAAAAAATAAGACAAAATTTACTAGGTAATATGGATGAAGTTGTTGTTGGGACAATAGGGTTGACCTCTGGTGGGTTATTTTCCACTTTCCATGGTGGGGATGCAACATGTTCTGAGTACCTTTATTCGTATCCTCTTTCGGAGGAAAAGTTGCATGTTCAGTTGGTTGGCTGCCTGGTGAATTTTTGGGCATATTAGCAGAAGGTGTTGCACTTGGAGCTGTTCAAATATTCAATAGAAGAGCAAATTTGTATCAGATACAATTGAAAGCTGTTGACTATGAAAAGGAAAGTCATCCAATACAAGTTCTAGCGATAAACATCACAAGATTTTTATATATACCTGGTGAAAATGGCTCTGCAAGGTGACTCTTATTTGCATGCCTACTATCGGAATTAGGTGCCAGATTTCCATGTTCAATTGGTTGGCTGACAGGTGAAGTTTTTGGTGATCTGCCAGAAGATCTTTCAACTGTTTCTGTTCAAAATCCAATAGATTAACAGGAACCTGGGTCAACACCAATTATAAGCTGACATAAACTACCCCCACCCATAAACAAGAAAGAGACAAGTACCTGGAGCAGTTGGTGAGGAGACAGGAGGTCTAACCGCAGGTGCATTAATTTGAGGTGGACTTGTTTTTATAGATGGTGGCTTGGTCCCTTGAACTACTGATGGTGAGGGAACAAGCTCAAATGGTGGTGGTAATGCTATAGTGCTTGGATCTGGAGATTTGGATGATTCAATGTCTTTAATCTTGTAAGGGGATGGAGCTGCTGTAGGAGGTGGTAGTATCTTTGGAGGCTGAAAAAATGGCCCTGGATCATGAAAATACAATCTTTTGGTAAGATGACCACAATATAATTTAATGGATCAAAAGAATGGATTTACCGTTTGGTACTGTCGGGAAGCTAGGGGAATGATACACATGTATGTTCGCCGGAGATGGGGATAAAATAAACCCTGAAAGAATAACAGCGGTATCAAATACCAGTGGAGATTAATAGGGATGGTGAACAATTAAATTAAACATCAAAACCATTTTGTATGAGATTGGGATATACCATCTCCATCTGGTGGTAAGTTTGGTGCCTCGCTTCCCTCCCCGTGATAAATAGGACTTAGTGTTTCTGATATAGGAAAGACAAGAAGCAATGTTGAAGATGGAGATATAATGGACCCTTAAAGAAAATATTATCAGTTGGAATGCCCAAAAGTTCCATGAGATAAAAAGAAGAAGAAATTATCGGCAAGTTCAAGAATCAAGCTTATGAGATCATATCAGCATTAGTTTAACAATTTTTGGAAACTAGATATTTATTTCAATATTTGTTTCTGGTTGGTTTTGAAATGTGCGAGGATCCAAATGATCAAATTTGATATAAATTTAAAGCAACTGTGTCCAATTCAGAGAGAAATGCTAACAATCTTCACTCTTCTTCGTCTACAAATTTCAAGACTTCAGGCAATTGGATTCTAGAGAAATGCACTAGCCTCCAACAGTGGCTAATTACAAAGGTATAAAAATTCAAGACACAGGAAAAAACTACCTTCGCTAGAAGAACTCCATATCTTAAAACAATTATAGGCATTACAGCCATATACTAATAAAATGTGCAACTGTGCTTATACTTTGCATAAAAGCCATTATCCTACACACAACTTGATGAAAAAACAAATCAGTAATTCTCAGCTACTTCAGCAGCTGGGAAACTATGAAGATTACTTAAAAAACCTGGTTAAAAAAGATTAATGTTGGTCATATTGTTCCAAGTTGCCAATGTTATTGGTTCTAAACTTCTAGTTGCGTGTCATCTCTCAAGAACAAGAATATAGGGAGAGATAATGGTTTCAAAACGCAGCGGTAGCTTGTTTTATCTTCAACATATGATAATTAAAAGTAAATTTTGTAAGCAATGAAGAAGACAATGGAAAGAAAAAGATCTGATGTTCAATTTGATGGGAAATTATTCAGCACAGATGTATAGGACCTCTGTGGTACATTATTATAACAACATTGTAAAATGAAAATATTTGCTCCAGATCAAATTAACCTTGAGTTTTCCACTTTTTTTTTGTCACAATCTACTCTGCATAAGTTTACAAAGGATTATATTAACTTCAAATTCTAATTCTTAAGACCAAGCACGCACCAACCTTTGGATTCTTGAGCTGTCACTGCAAGGCCAGTTATGCAGAGCTGCAGCATCAAGGCAAAAACAAGCCCCATCCCTTTCCAGTCTCCAAGTACAACCTCAGAATAAATGAGAGAACAAATTACAGGTTTTGATGGAGTTGGTAACTTGAAGCAAGAACAAACGGATGTTAAGTTGAAAAAGTGGCTCACGTAGTGACACCAGAGCAATGGGAAAACAATTTATGGAACAAACCAGAACTGTTGTTTTGTGAAAAGGACAAGACCCAAAACATTTGTTTCTTGAAAACAATACTTCTAGCATTGGCAGAGCTTGGAAAATTCCATGGGCGGAAGGTAAAAGTTAAACTCTTAAGAAACATGTGAATCCACACTTAAGAAACCTCAAAAAAATAATAATGAAATAGCAAAACCCTTCCTTCTTTGACAACTAGAGACAATTGGTGGGGCAGAGAGACTACTATGAACAGAACAACCTTGTGCTCATACACACACATATTTTACTAATTTCCACGATAAAGTTAGATTAAGGTGGTGTATCAGTCCCAGTGCAGTGAAAGATTTATTTATTGACAAATTGCCACTGCTTCTTGCTTCAGTTCAATGGAGGTTGCATAGTTGCTTTTCTCCATTTTGATTATTTCTTCGTAACAAGGTGTTACCACTTTCATGTGTTTTGTACTAAAATTAGTGTCATTTAGATACTATAATTTGCTTATATATCTTCAGGTGGGATTATGAAGAATATGACACCATGCGGCAGAAGCATTAGTCACCCCACGTGTTCTCAGATTTTTAATGCTTAATGTGACTTCTATAACACATATTAAACAATCATGAAAGAAGTTGAAGACAAAATTTAAATTAGTGAGAGACACATAAGGAAGAAATTGAGAGGGATTCAATCATATATGTCTCTCAAAAGATGAAGGTTGAATAAAACTGCATAGCATTATGAAGTGACTAACGACAATTTTTGTGTAAATATAATGTACACACGCACAACCAAATGAAAATCTAAGATGTGTCAAAATCATATGAAGAAAAAAGTGTTAAAGTTGTTTTATTATTATATTAATTTACTTATAAAGGTTATTTTGACAATCCTATCTCACCCATTGGAGAAAATGAAAAAAATATTGAAAGTTGTACTACGAAAGTTGGTGAGAAGAATCCATGACTCCTTTATGAGACAAATGAAAAATGTGGCGCCCGTGACACTCTTTATAATTGACAGAAACCAAACAAGAGATTATTTTTTATCAGTTTAGGAATCCTCCAAATCAGAGATTTAAAGAGTTTTTAAATAACAAAATTCCATATAGAAAGAAAGAAGACAAGAAGAGAGTGATTAAAGGATTGAAAGAAAGCGGAATTTGATGGCTAATTAATTATTTTATCTCTCATCAACAAAAATAATAAATCCGTGATTGTCTTTTTGGATTGTAGTGAGTAGTTAGGGGCACTAGCCTCAAGAGTGAAGAAGACAAGACGACAAAGGAAGTGTGGAAAACCTTGCTGTCATGGCCATTGTCATAGGATGCATAGTGAGTGTGCACAGTAAATTTGTTAAAAATAACTTTTCATTAACAAAACTCTATCACCTGGAAAACTGCTTTCAGTTTGCCACTAGATGAATATTGACAAATCACAGTGGATATAAGACAAGATAGCAACAAACTTAAACAAAGTGTTGGAGGGTCAATCACTTATGATTATGATGTTTTGTATCTGTATTTATTTGGTTTTGTTCAATTCCTAATTTTCAACAACAAACTTTAGCTTATAAGAAAAGACAATTGAAAAAGAGAATATGGATAGATAGATAGAATGATTTCTTTGAATATTTGATTTGATGGAAAAATGAACATAATTATATCGTGAGGTTATTTAGTTTAGACAGAAGATGAGGAGAAAAATTAAATTATACATAAAATCAAAAGAGTAACCAAAAAAATTGAATGTCTTGCAACACAATCAATTTTGAACAAGAAAACAATCTAATATCAGCAAATACAACTAACGGGATATCCTTTTCTACACTATTTCTCAACACTTAGGCTTTGTTTGGTTGGAGTGATTTGAGAGAGTGGAAATGAGAGAGTGGAAAAGGAGGGATTTGAAGAGAAATGGAGATAAAGTTAAAGTTGTTTGGATGAATGGAAAGTGATAGGAAAGTTTATGGGAAATTGTGAATGATTTGATTGATATGAGATATAAAAATTATAATTTTAATTGATTATTTAAAAAAATTACCATTTTACCCTTTGTATAAAATAAGGTTCAAATGATTATAAATATAATTTTTTAATTAATTATCCATATTTTAACATTGATTATATATTTAAAAGAAAAAACAAATTTAAAAGTGTTTGTAATTAGAAACAAATTTAAAAAATTAACTTTTTTAGATAGTTATTAAAAATTATATAAATAAATAATTACAAAATTATGTACATTGCATATCCATATTTAAATAATGTTGACATATTAAAAAATAAATTTTACTAATAATTAAATAATTATAAAATATAAAATAATAATTAATATTGATTGATAATAACAAATAATTATGAAAACTAATAATGTAATTGTATATTATTATTTAAAACAAATATAAAATACAAGTGAAAATAGAATAATAATTAAAGGAAAGATTACTAAAATTATAAATCTATGCACACTAATGTTCTTCAAACAAATAATTATAATGTTATCCATCTTTTGCGAGTCAAGTCCTCCAGGTTCGAGATCATTCAATCACCTCCATTCAAGAACATGAACAACTGGGAGAGACGAAGATATGAGGGCAAGCCAAAAAGTCGTCTAACATGTGATGGGTGAGTACACAAATGATTATAACATCTGAAGCATAAGTTGCTCGTCATTTAGGTTCATGCCAACTAACATGTCCCATATATCGACTCAGAATGTTGAAATGTTGATGATCGTCTCATCACATTAACTTGCTCATTAATTAAATCATTTACGCATTCAATGGCGACCACTGTCTTTCAGCTATGTCGGATAATCGTTGGGTGATTGTATTACCTTGCCGAGGTAATCTGTAAATGTGTCCGAGCCTCGTTGTTAGTTTTTCAAATTGACCTTCCATCACATCAACCATAGGCGTTTTTCTTTTTGTGCCCAGAGATGAAGAGGTTCCACTCGAACCGAGTAGACGCAACAGATGGAATTGAGTGAGCACCCTCAGCCGGATCTGTCGGAACCCATGCGTGGAGGTGATCGATAAGCTGTATCAAATCCTGCATCAAAGCCAAAGTGAAATGGCTGCTCCTCTGGTGTGGGATCCACATCAACGTTCAAGTCGACTGTTGCCCTTCGAGAACTGATATTCATTCGGGCCTGACGCGAAGTTCTTGCCATATGTCCAGTGGCTCGATCAGCACCCCACAATTCTTCCATCAAATCATAATGTCTTATAGTTGACAGTTTCCATTTAGCTGCAGAAGGCTTCGCCTACAAAATAATGAGAATGGTTAACACTCGTAATTGTTATGTTTTGCTATATCAACAAATGATAATTCATACAATAGTACCTTAATTAGGTCATCCCATACTTCTTGCTCAGCCACAAACCGTTTTGTGATATCATCCCAAGCAAATCCACTAAGTCCATGAAACAAATCGTGGACCTCCCGCCATCTATCCTTAAGACTTTTTTGTCGATTTTTAACATTATTTTTAGTTATACCAATTAATCCAGACTCGTCTTAGGGATTCAACTATATTATTATATGCTTGGGTTGTCCAACTACCATCAACCCGATTACCTAACCTTGTCTCATCAAGCATAGCGATCAACAACCGAAAGTTCATGTCATCAGATCCATTTTGTAAACTCGCGCACTTACAGGTGACGAATTCGGTGCAATATCCTTTCCTCTGTTCATTTTAAACCTATTGAAAAGATAATATATGTAATTACGATACCAACATATAATTATTATAAATAGATAATCGTAATGTATGAAAGTGATACTAGCAAAGATCTCGGTGATTTGATGAAGTCAAAGATAAAAAGGTCAACTCTGCAACGATCAAACAAGTCACTCGGAAGAATGGAAGTCGAAGACTTAGTGCGTCTTATCGAAAGCTTAGGTAAAACCACTTTACCTTTTTCCACTGCATGAAGCTCCTTCACTCAATTTGCAAAATGCCTCAAAAATAGTTTTAAACAAATCAAACAAAAGCATTTTGACACAGAACTTTCTTAACAATGTTTTTAACTGATATAGTTTTAAAAGAAACAATTAAAATCACTTAGAATACGTAAAGAAGTGTTTTTACAGTATTTTAATCGATACAAACTTCTTTTAATCGATTAAAACCCTTTTATGACCGATTAGAATTCGAATATGACAGGTCAGAATGAAATATAATCGATCAGACTTTAAAAATGAGCGATCAGATTTATTTTAATCGATTAAAACACGTTTTAATCGATTAAAACCACTTTGGAAGTCAGGATGATCGATCAGAATGAAATTATGACCGATCAGAGTTGGTTATAATCGATCAAAATTAAATTATGACCGATCAGACTTATTTCAATCAATTAAAAAGACTTGAAAAGTTATGTACAGATTTTCAATCGATTAAAACGACTTTATATCAACTAAAATAACTTAGGAAAGTTTTATAAGAAGGTTTTTAAGCAAATCAATCGATTAAAACGCGAATCAATCGATTGAATCACTCTCAGAAGATCCAACCTACAACAAAGTAGCTTTGCTTTGCTAGAGTCTTTTAGCTAGTCTTATGAGACTAGCTTTGCTTTATATAATACAATAACTTTCCCTATCGGCTGTAACTAGAGAAGAAAGAATAAGTCCTGTAACTTCTATCAGCTGTGAACACGTGAAGTTGGCTGTACAGCCCGTGACCACTGCATGTACAGCCCGTGACTTCTGTTCATGACTTACCTCCTTCTGTCGTGTTTAGAATATATAATTTGTCAAATGATCAAGATTTTAGATAACGGTTCCAGTAATAACCGCTATTACAAATATATATAATAGCGATTAAGATTTATATAGCAATTCTAATAGCGGTTAAATCTTAACCGCTATTATATATTTTCAGATATGATCGATCATTTGAAAATGTAATCGATCATAATCGAAAAATGTGGATGTCGCTCGAGCGAGATAAGTTTCGCTCAAGCGAAAAACAACCCGAGAATGAAAATCTTCGCTCGAGCGAGTTTAATGTCGCTCAAGCGAAATACAACTTGTAATAGCGGTTAAACCATAACCGCTATCTAATATATACTTTAAATAGCGGTTACAGAGGAACCACTATGATATCTTCCAATTATGATCGATCATTTGAAATTATA